ATATGTTTAAATAAAGGTTGAATGAAAAAAACGGCCGTCCAATAAGAAAAACAATGTGCTAAAAAAAGTTTACTCAACCTGTTTAATAATTAAACTATAACAATAATCTGCAAATATTTAAAAAGCCTTAATAAGCAGATAAATAGAGTGATTGTGACATGATTTTTGTTATATAGTTTCCCTGCATTTATTTATTTGGCCTAGATTGCCCTGTTTGTTTATACAGCTAATTTTCAGCACCAAGAAGACATCCATCTGTCAATGAAATTTTGTTAAATGATTATAAAACTAAACAAGTAAATAAGTAAGTAATTAAGTAAGTAAATAAGTTGAACAAAAATATTCAAATTAAGATTGCCTAAATATACAAAACATTTTGCACTTGCCTTTACATATTTAATCCTGCATTAAACAATGAAAGTACCTTATAACTCTTATAAATGTTTATTAATAATCATTAAATTATTTACAACCTAAATGAAACTCAAACATATTTACAAAATGTTTATGAGAGTAGATTTACTGTAAAGTGGGCGGCATGGTGGCACAGTTGATAGAGCTGCCGCCTCTCAGCGAGAAGATCGCTGGTTCAAATCCCGGCCCAAAACCTTTCTGGGTGGAGTTTGCATGTTCTCTTCATGCAAGCGTGGGTTTTCTACGGGTACGCCGGTTTATTCCCACAGACCAAAAACATGCATGTTAGACTGATTGGTAACTCTAAATTGTCCCTAGGTGTGAGTGAGAGAGTAAATGGTTGTTTGTCTTGTTGTCTCTATGTGTCCCTGATGGACTGGAGACCTGTCCAGGGTGTCCCCTGCATCTTGTACAGTGATTGCTGGACATGCCAGTGACCCTGCACGTGTAAGCACTAAAACAAACTTTTGAGTTTTGGAAAACCACTATATTTTAAAGGAACAGTTCAGATCTTTTGAAGTGAGGTTTTTGGAAAAGCTTTGAACAGATAACATCTTAAATGTTGCAGGTACATTCATTTTTGGAGCAATGTTAATCAGTCCTGACCAACTTGATGACGTAGAGGTCAAGACAATCTTCAATCTCATCAATTACATGTGAAATGTATTTTGTAAACCTTGATATTGCACATAGTTTTGGATTGCATGGTTATTTACGTGGACTTTTATGATTACTTGTACAGGCAAGTAGTCACAGCAGCAACTGTGCAGCCTGGAACAATCATAGTATTTCAGCCAGAATCACCATGCAATGCAATCTGGATGTTGATGACAAACTTTATACAATGTGAATCTACTGAAATGCTATAAAATGTTTGAGACAGCTGTTTTAAGATGGCAACAATCGAATTTGGTTTTGGCCTTGCACAGCCATTGAAAGAACTATCTACAACAGGTAAGACATTAACTGTTTTAAACCTACTGCAAAAGATCTGAACTCTACTCTAACGCCAAGTTAGAAATGACAGATCTCACTTTTGTCACCAGATATACTCCTCCACTTTCAGTAATTACGATATGAGCAATATTATGTGTAAGTCACACCCTGCATGTGACTTACAGGAGGTTAAAAGGAGGTCAGGACAAATGGACAGTTTGCAAAAACAGGAGCTGCAACAGCCGCAGTCAAGGCAGAGCGTCATTTAAGTTTTTTTTTTTGTTAAGGCGCAAAACACTTCATGTACTCAGAAATTAAAATATGTCCAGACATTTCCTAGCCTCGGCTTGATTTATTTGGTGTTTGGCTTTTATTTCTGGACTGTGCTCATGTTTTCGTAGAATCTGTAGATTATGAACACTGACGGTGACGTTTGCCTATAACACCAACATTACCCCATTCCTTCAGGCGATTCCTTCATGTATATTTAAAATGTTCTTGATGGAAAGTTAGACTTTCTCTGACAGCTGATTTTATGCGTGGGTGACATTTTTTATGATCTGAAGGAGAAAACACATGCGGTTGAGGTGATGCACATTTTTACACTGTTGCACATCATGCCTCTGATCCACGAGTGCCAGTAAAACAGTTGCACATGAGCATGCTCAAGCTATATTTCATCTTTTCACCCACTTTTCTCCAAAAACATCACATCATTTTACAGATTAAAAATAAATATCAGCATTTTGAGACTGAACAAACTGGAAAACAAAGCACCTCAAACTGTGTGATATTTAATTCAAGTTTATGCATATTAATTCCAATGATGAAACATTTATAATCTAAAAATAAAACTACGTGAAACAAAGTATCAGACTATATTACAAACCACTGGAATAATTAAAGCATTGCGTTTCAGTTTGTATGAAAACAATATCAGATTATTGATTGCAAAAGTGGTAAGATGTACAGTGTATCAGTGATTACAAGGAACAAGACATTTGTGTGTGCATGCAGCTCTCCAAAGCTACATAAATCTTTTAAAATGGATAAAAATATTATCTGTTTTCTAGCTCAAACAAATTATTTGAGAGAACTGCCATAGATTACCTGGTTATTTGATGCTTGTTCTATTATTTTCTGCCTGCTTTAGTTTCCTAATGATCTGTAAAGATTGAGGAATCATGAAAGGGAACACTCAGAAGACAAATCGAGATAAATAACTTTATTGCAAAAGTACCATACAAATGTGATCTGTTAATAACTAATGCATGCAGTATTCCATCAATCTACAAGTAATTGTCTTTAAAAATGGCTCCATTGTTAAAAAAGATGAAAAACACAGAAAAGGAGGAAATACAGACAGAAAGAGGGGTGATGAATTATAAGGATTAACAATTATACAGCCAGTAAACACACAATGGCCCAAAGGAGCAAACGTTGAAGAAGAAAACATAAAATTCACAATGAAACTGGGGAAAAGGACATGAAATAAATTAGATTAAACAAACAAACGACAATCTTGAATCTAGAGCAGGAGACCACAGGATCATCGTTAAAGATGAGAGTAGTGCACAATTCATTGTCAGGCATCAACAGTCAAATCTGAAGTGATGTCAGAATCTGCGTCTTTTGCATTAAAAAAAAAAATATATATATATATTTTGTATTTTATTTTTTAATTTTTTTTATTGACTGTTTTTTTTATGTTTCGGTTCCTCCCAGTGTCCCTTATATTCACTCTTTCTTCGTCAGTATCTGTCTCTCAGCTCCTGTCCCTCAGCTCCCGTCTTGCACATTCATTCGCACCTGTTGACATTTTGCCCAGGTGTCTCCACTCCACTCACCGGTCTCTGTCCATAAAGTCCGTCTGGATTTGTGAGTGCTTCACCCCATGTCTGGTTCTCTTCTCTCTCCTTGTGTTTCCATCATATTTCCTGTAAGCTATTGTTGCCCCACCAGCATTTTGTTTTCTTTATTAAAATCTTTAAGCTTTGCTTGTACGCTTCATGTTAGTCTGCATTCCTTGGTCCAACTCTCTTTAAACCGAGGCATGTAAAATCAGATTTCTGACTTATGATCTGCAATTCTGACAGACGTAGCTTCACTCTCAATTTTTATTTCTGTTGTCAAATAGACTGTTAAAATGTCACTAAAAAGACATAAAAGTAACTTGAATTATCTGACTTTTATTCAGTTTTTTATGTTTTTGTTAATTTTGTGCCATTTATTTCAGCCTTTGAATGAACGTTATAAGTACAGGATACATTTTTATCATTGTTATAGTTAATTTTATCTGCTTTACGTCAACATTTTTTGCAGCTGATTCTTTTTGCACTGTAAGGTTGTCTTTGTTGTGTTTTTCTCTTTATGTTCTTACCCTTATTTCGAACCCCTATTGTGAGGAGTGAAAGGGCAATCTGCATATGTACCTAAATTACCTCAGCTTTATAACTCGAACTTCACGCACTGTTCTTTGAAACGAGAAAGCTTCTCGGATGAGAAGCGAAACGTCTCCTGTTGCAAATAAAGTCCAGTTGTTTTTGTCTTGAACTTTTTTAATTTACCATGTCGTGACCGAGAATCTTCACCAGCATCATTATGTCCTTCTTCTCTTCTCTGTATCCTACATTTAGCTGACACAACAACAATCTATTCTTGAATCTTGAACAAGAAATATGTTGAGAAGTAACTCTAGAGGTCGTTGCCTACCTTTTGTAATCACAGTGTAAAAAACATGAACACATATGGCACAAGTACAAAACTGCAAGCAAGGCTATAGATGCCATCCTCCATCCCTCAGTCAACATCTTATGCCACACCCTTTCAGAGACATCCCGGAAGCTCACAAACCAAATAAATTGAGGGTCTGCATCTGTGCTGTAATGCTTTATTCAATATGTCTGCTATTGACTCTAATGGACCACTGATGCAACTGAGAACATACTGACAGCCAAATGGATAGATATAAATGGACCTGGGAAATCAGAGAACCACTCCATCACATGCTGGAAAAAATGATGATGTCTTTGTGGCCTTTGTCTTTCTTTCACCAGGACGGTAAAGCATGAGTCACACAAACCCCCGGGGCTCTTAAAAGCCAAACTGCCGACAGCGGAGCACTAGTTTAAATGTCAGGAGCTTTGAAGACAACATTAATCATACTTTAGCTTTTGTTTCAGCGAAGTACAGACTCAGTCTGAACATTTTAGATTATTAACCAAACATTTGGTTGACCTATTAAACGATGATGGCTGATTCTGCACACATTTTGTGTTAGGCGCAGTTGGTCTTTGTGCACCACATAAAAATAGGCCAAGGTTGTGTGATGTCCACTGGGAGAAAAGAATCCTCTCTGCCAGGAAAAGAAGAACATGTTCGGCTCTCTGCTTGGATCGTTGTACAAGCCAAAAACTGTATCTGCAGGGCTTTTTAATTTTTTTTTTTTTTTACAACAGTTAAACTCCAGAGGTTTGGATAGTGTGAATTAAACATTCTGCTGTTATAATCTGTGTGGTGCATGTAATGAAGATTTTTTTTTGTTCCCTGTTATTATCTACACCCCCAATGACAGATGGCTGAAGTAGTGTGTCTTACCTCTTTTGTTAAGTTTCACTTTACCTCTTTGTTGCTCTGTACCAACAGTTACCATGGAAACAGTTTTGCTCATCCTCTCTTCACTCCTGGCATGTGTTGCTGGTGAGTGCTCTAATCACGAAACGTACACATACCTGCACTTCTACAAAGTGTCCATAGTGAGACAGTGTTGAGGGAGAAAGACTTTAGGAAGAGATGCTCTGGGTGTGACTCTCAGAAAAACATCAATTACCCATTAAATGGTTTATGAGTGAGTTGTTGCAGGCTCTGTGTGTGTGTGTAGTCTCAAAAAACAAGATGAAATATAAAATGTACACATGTTCACACACTATAACTATTACAAGTAGTCCGTTTTTTGTGATTCTTGGTTTTTATGTACGGTAACTGTGGATAGCTTAGACAATGTCTGAGTAGATTTCTTCACTAATTTTCTATTTTTATCTCCTTTTCTCTCCACACTCAAACCTTTTCATCTCATTGGTGTCTCTTAGCTGCAGAGGACCCCACTGCAGAGGGTAAGTCCCCTTCTTAGCCTCTAACAAGGTTGAAATTGACGTGATTTAGCTTTTTAGATCAATGCTCTAGGACAGGGGCGTTCACACTTTTTCAGCATGTAAGCTACTTTTAAAATGACCGAGTCCAAGTGATCTACCTACTATAAAAATATGAAACATTTACTTATTTATAAAGATATTATATGCTTTATTTGTTTTAACTTCTTGTTTTTAGTGTTTTACCACGTTTTATATGGTACCTTGATTTATTGTTTTATAACACTACTTTTATTTTAATTGCATTTTACTGTAGTTTATTGTTGTCTGTACTTTATATGTTGTCTGTCTAAATCAGGTCTGTTGTAAATGAGTCCTTGTAACTCAATGAAACTAACCTGTATAAATAAAGGTTGAATGAATGAATAAGTCCCAGCTCGCCGTGGACGCAACATAAATGACAAAACCCAAAAGTGTTTAAAAATTAAAAAGTGACAATTTATTTTTGCTGTCCGTGTACAAAATAATAAACAAAACACAGCAAAAATTTGGGTTCTCCAAACAAACAACAACATTTTTCTGTGGGAAAAATGACTGCTGTCTTTTTTAGTTCACCTTTTTCTTTCTCAGCTCACTTTTCAGAAGAAACTCAGTGTCATAGTTTTTATGAATAGTCTGAAAATGCTGCTCCCGTACACTTGCAGATGAGGCAAACGCACTTTGAATATGACACTGTGAAGAAAAAAAAAAGTCCTCCCCCGACTCCTTAGAGAAATGGTAGTTTTGTTCTCCTTTCTTAGTCCAGCTCCCCAACTCATTTTACACACTTTCTTGAGTTTCGATTAGAAGAAATAAACTGGAGGCTATTACAAGTCACCTCTGTAGTTTTTGGCGCAGTTGTTTGCGCATGCGTGGTGACCTACGTGCTAGAAAAGATCCGGTCTCTGATTGGCTGCCCTGTATGTCAATCAAGTGACAAATTGCATAGTGACGATGGAATGATAAGCTGGCGTCTATTAAAACAATTATAATTAAAAGAAATAAAAAAAAATCTGATGTCTATTTCACCATGCGATCTACTAAAATTGCCTTCGCGATCGAACGGTAGATCGCGATCGTCGATTGGGCACCCCTGCTGTAGGAAGTGCTGCCCTGTGCAGTAAACAGTCACATACGAACAAAAAAAGTCCAAACCATAGCATTGTAGAAAAACATTTATATCATAGATGTTGGAAAAAAGAGGCCAGCTAAATAGTAAAACAAAACAAAGTTACGCCTGTGAAACTATTTTATTATGCTTTAAAATGTGCATGCCTAATACATCTGTGGTAAACTGATAAATGTTTTGAAGTGGCTCATGTTAAATACAGTATGCTCAATGTTGTAGACAGTTCTTTGAACAACCTCTGTTTGGAGAAATAAAGTTTTATTTTGAATGGACCAGTAACCCCACAGCCAGTTTGAACAGAGCCAAGAATAAAGTTTATTACTGGTAAAACAGCTCCTATCTCAAAACTTTCACAATGATTTACACAAATGCTATTTATAAACTTTTACGCTGCTACTGAATGTGCGGGGTGCCGGTTTTCCTGCAGAAACATGATGATTATGATGCTAAAAAATATCTCAGACTTCATCACAAGTGCAAAAGTTAGTCGCTGCGACCATTGTATGGTGCAAATTACTGTGTAAGATGAAACTACTAAATTATTCCCCCTATAAAATAGTGTTGCATGGACTGTTATGAACATGAGGTGTTTTAGGACAACAAGAATCATATTTTATCTTGGTTGAGCTCAGACTAGCTGGTACCTCATCAGTCCATCAGAATAAAACTCTTATTTTCCTAAGCTGAGGTTGAACAAAGATCTGTCTGAATCAGGGGTCTGCAACATGCGGCTCTAGAGCCACATGCAGCTCTTTGGTCCCTCTTCAGAGGCTCTTTCAAACTTTGACCAAAACTGACATAACAATGAATTTTATATACAAACAACAAAAAATGATTAGTTCAAACAGTTTTTCTGACATTTGTTTAGCAAATATGTGAACTTTGGAGCGAGTACAAGGAGTAAAACATACTTTAACTTGATGCTTTATTTCTTTATATGAAGAACATAGATTATTTCATTAAAAAAAGATTGTAAAAACTGATTTTTCCCCCTCCTTCTTTACAAGAATCTGGTCTTTTACTTTAATAAATGTTAAAAATCATTACATTTTTTTTCTTTTTTTGCTTTATAATGTCACAAAAGCCCCCTCCAGCAAACCTAAAGTGGTCCTTGGGCCGCTAGTTGATAACCACAGAGGTAGCAGGTTGTTGTGGCTCCGGACATGTTCAATTTAGTGAACAAAGGTGTAAAAATGGCTCTTTTCATTCTATAGTTTGCAGACACCTGATCTAAATTATTTCTGCAGAACCCTAAATTGAATTCTGCTTCAAGAAATCTGAACTATTGTGTTAATTTATAGAAAACTCTTTAAAATGAAACGTGAACAATATAATATACTTCATTATGCTGGTGAAGATTCTCAGTCATCCAGGACATGATAAAATAAATAAAACAAATATTTGTTATATTTAGTCCAGTTGTTTTTGTATTGAACATCTTTTGAATATACTTCATTATTTATTATCATAGCTGTTATTTAATTTTAAAATACCCCCACATATATTTCATCCTCATGCTAAGTTGTTTAGCATCTGGTATTTGTTTCAATAATTTTGTAGAAGAAATAAAATCTAGCATACTGCAAATTTCAAGAAGAATGATAACGTGTTAAGTTGTACATGTCCTGATGCATGCTCATTGTTAAGTTGTGTATTAAAATACATGAATATTTTAGGTCCTAACCTGGTTCTACACATGTTCTATTTGTTCACAGATGGTGAGGCAAAAGTTGAAAACCCTTTTATTTATGGTGAGTTTAGAAAACATCAACTCATCAGCATATAGTTTGACATAAAGACCATATCAATACCTAAAACATATGTTCCCAGTCCTTGGAGCTGACTGTGCGTTGCTTTTTTACAGACTATGAGACTTTGAGGATTGGGGGGCTGGCGTTTGCTGTGGTGCTGTTCATACTCGGCATCCTTCTCATCCTCAGTAAGTTAACCTCTTTGCTCACGTTGTCACATCTGTATGCACGTGATGAAGTTTAGTGTTGAATTATAATTGAAATTCTTTCTTATGTGAAGCTACAGACGTCACGTAGTTTTACCTTTATTTATTTTTCTGCACCTCTTTTTACAGCAACAACATTAATGATATGTGACGCAAATCTGACGTCTTTACAGCAAAAGTGATCATTTTGTTTGTTTGTAGGTCGGCGATGTCGCTGCAGTGTGAAGCAGAAGCCCAGGTACATCAACGTCCTTTTCTGATTGAATCAAAAAAGAAGTCTTGGTTATGAAAGACCTTTTTTCTATTACGCGACATAATTTGGTTACCATGACAACTTGTGGATTCTCTCCACAGGGCTCCTGGAGACGAGGAGGCACAAGAGGAGAACATGATTGTCTCCAAGGGTAAGATGAGTATTTTAACTCTATCCCTTGACACAAATCCATAACTGAGTTTCCTTTTGCTGGTGTCCATTAGCACCTTTTGTACACTGACAGTACATGAAACATAGCTTTTCATTAATTTAGCTAGAATATGACTGCCCTTTTCCAAACAACCTCTCAGGTACACAAAGTTTGTTTTCTCAGTCATCCAGGTATATAACAACAAAAAAGGTTGAATCATGTCATCTGGACTTCGTTTTTTTTGTTAAAAAGAAACGTTTCGCCCCTCATCCAAGAGGCTTCGTCAGTCTGAGGCCTAGCCATCTGGTATTACCCAGAAGCCACCCTGACTCTTGTGTTTCAAGCCTCTCCACCTCTCAGGTAGTTTTGATCAACATTTTAGTGTGCTCACAAAAACAAGTCAGAAAATGAGAATCTCAAAGTTGAACTAGAGAAATTGCATTTCCTGCGAAAATGCAGTGTGAATGCTTATTGTTGACAAACTTGCTGAAAAACAGCTGAAATTAGCTAAAAACATGCTGAACTATAGCTGAAATGGAAGAACAAGCCTAAATTATCAGAAGAAAGCAGAAAGAACACATTTGCTGAATTATGTTTAAATAAGCAGAAATTAGCACAAATTTTAGGAAATTACAGTAGCTAAAAATGCTTAAATTAGCAAAGAAATAGCTGAAAAGTAACTGCAAAGGCAGAAAGAAGCTTAAACTACCAGGAGGAAGTGGAAGGAGATGAAATGAGCTAAATAAAAGGTGGGATTATTTGAAAAAGCTAAATTTAGCACAAACAGCTAAAAAATAGCTGAAATAGCAGAAAAAGCTGAAACTAGCAGAAATCATCTGAAGGGAGCACAACAAGGTAAAATTTGCCAAAATAATTTAATTAGGCTGATAGCAGAAATTAGCATAAAAAATGTGAATTTATCTGAAAGCAGCTGAAATTGGCTAACAATGCTAAAAAGTTATAGTTGAAAAGGTAGATCAAGCTTATATTTGAAGAAGAAAGCAGAAAGAACACATATTTGCTTAAAGAAGCAGAAATTAGCACAAAACAGTGGAAATTATCCAAAAAAAACCGCTACAATTATCCAAAAATAGAGCTGAAAAGTAGCTGAAAAAGCAGAAAGAAGCTTACCAGTAAATTACCAGAAGGAAGCGGAGAGAGCACATTTTTGTCAAATTAAGCTGAGAAAAGTTGAAATGAGTGCAAAAAATGTAGAAATAGCTGGAAAGGCCAAAATTAGCATCAAACAGCTGAATAGTAGCTTAAATAGCAGAAAAAGCTGAAACTAGCAAAAATATGCAGAAAGGAGCATAACAAGCCAAAATCATCAGAAAGAAGTTAGAAAAAGCACAAAAATGTTGTCGTTATCAGAAAGAATCTGAAAGGAGCACAAAACAGCTCAAAACCAGCTAAATTAGCTGAAAATTTTAATAATTTGCAAAAGAAGGCTGAAAGAAACGGAACCAGAACAAAACGTGAAAGGAGGAGTAAAAGGTTGTAAACAGAGCTAAAGATTTGAAGGATGTAAAATGAGCTCATTTCATTTTCTATGAGACAAAAATGGCAGAAAAGGCTAAATATTTCAAAAGGCTAAAGTTGCACCAAAACCAAAAGTCAAAGCAGGTTTGTCCTGAATGAGCTGAATGTTTTGATTTGTGATTTGTTGAAATAGCACAAAACTTGTGGAACGAGAAAGATGCCGAAAAATGTACAGAAGAAAAATGGATCACAATAGTGTGAATGCTTCATAAACATTCACTCGTTGGGCCTCTGCTTAATTCTGTCAGATGTCAATGATGGGGAAACAAGTTAATGCACCAAACTGCTTTTAGTGATTTTATGCAAGAGTGAGAGTAACTCCAATACAGGGTATAGAAAGTGTAAATAAAAGCTCGATGCTTTTCATCTACTCTACCTAAAACCAGCGTCTCTGATGTGTTTCAGATTCAGCAGCTGCCAAAGAAACTCCAGCAGAAAACTGAGACAGCAACACAGGACCACCTTCAGGAAATCGATGATCTTTGTATTTGACATTTAGCAACACTTGTTGAATTGATGATCATTATAACTGGTTAGATTACAGGGTCAAATCGGAGGTGCATAACAAAAAGGTGTGATGTGTAAATAGATCTCGTTCTTCGTTGTGACTGTGCTCTTGTCCATTTCTGTGCCTTCCTGTGACAGTCTCTCGCTGCAGTTTGTTGTCTTAGCCAGCAGCATTGTTCCCCACACAAGATTGTCTTTAAAATCCTTTAAATGTTGTGCGATCTGCTGTTCTTTTGTATTCGACTTCAGGTTTTAGGATTTGTAAATGTGTTTGCTCGTTTCCTCTGTTGTCCTTGATAACGTGTGTTACATTTAGATCATAAGACATATGCAGTATTTAAACAGATACTTTACAAACGAGGCATAAATAACTTCCATTTACGTTTGAGTGTTGTGTTTGGGTGCACAATGAGCAGTCTTGTTCTGTATGATTGTGAATTCATCAGTGATGATCCTTACACGAGACAATCTCCATCACCACAGCTCTCCGAGTGAGCTCGGGAGTAATTAGCAGGTATCTTCAAGGGGCTCCTCCATCGTCTGAAGTGGAGAGAGCGCCTACATCAGCTGTCTCACTGCCTTCTTCTCCACATATCTACTTCACGGCTGCGTCACTGGTTCCAGTAGGATTACGTAGTCTCCAGCAGGCTATGATTAGCTTCCCTGCTCGCAATCACTAGTGGCGCAACTCTGTGACACTGGGGTTAGCTTTTGTTTCCTCTCTTTTTTCTAAGTTTTCTTTTTAACAGCATACATGCACTAAACAAAGAGATAAAGCGTGGTTGGAATGAAACCTTATCGACATGCATTTTAACAGTAGCCTAACTCATAAAGTTAAACCGTACAGGATGAAGAGTTGAGTTTTCCTAGGCCTAAAGTATGGGTTTTTGAAGATGACAGCTGTACAGCCAAATGCTATGTTAATCCTGCGCATGAGGCTTTGTTGTGTAGCAACCTGTTGTGCTTTTGGCATAAATAAAAGTATGTTTGAACACAGAATGTCTTTTTTTAATTAAATCATTTAGTAAAAAAAAAAACAGTTTTCAGAGTGAAATTTGCTTTTCTCCTCAAAAAAACAAACAAAAAAAACTTTCAGTCAAGTCCAGAATAGAATTCAAAATCTTACTTCTAACCTACAAAGCTCTCAACAACCTAGCTCCATCTTATGTTACAGATCTTGTTGTTCCATGTTTCACTAACAGAGCACTTTGCTGTCAAACTGTAGGCTTACTTGCGGTGCCTAGAGTTTCCAAAGGTAGAACGGGAGGAAGATCTTTCAGTTATCAGGCTCCTCTCTTGTGGAACCAACTTCCAGTTTCTGTCCGTGAGGCTGACACATTGTCCAGGTTTAAGACTGGGTTTAAGACTTTCCTTTTTGATAAATCCTATAGTTAGGGTTGGCTTGTTATGCTGCTATAAGCTTAGACTACTGGAGGACAAATTGACCTAATTTCCTAAAATGAATTGTTAAAATTTAATAGTTTTCATTTTATACTATTTCTATCAACGTGATTCTGGACCTGCCATTGTGTATCTGTTCCTCTCAAACCCAGCCGGTCGAAGCAGAGGGCCGCTTGTCCTGAGTGGTTCTGCTAAAGGTTTCTTCCTCATGAGAGACTTTTTACATTTCACTGTCGCCTTCATTATGAAAGTTCTGCGATGAAGTTAAATTTAAAGCAGTCGGCTCAGATAGCGTTATTTTATATTTGTATGTTCAGTGCTCTGAGATGACTTCTGATGTTACTTGGTGCTATATAAATAATCTGAATTGAATTAAATTGAAAGTTCTGCTGCTGGAAGGAAAGTCTTGTTTCATAAGCAGATCTGCAGAAGCCCTTGAAATCAGTCTGGTTATTCTCCGTCAATGACAGTCAAGGTTGTGCAGCAGCTTAGTGAGGAAACATCCTCCTCACCAGCAGTAAGAGCAACATGCTGCTGTTGTTTCTGCAACGATTCCAAAGGTTGGAAAAACTGCACTTTATGGTACTGTAAATATGTAACTAAATGTGGCTGGTCTGAAAATACCCCTGGAGGTGTGGAAAAGGTATCTGTGAGGGGGTGGATCTTTCAGGTGGGAAGTTGGGCTGCAGACTGGGCCACCCATTCTCACCTTCTCAGAGGTAAAGCAGAGGTGTCAACAGCTCAGGTGAGTGTTCACTTCTTTTTCTTAATAATTCTTCAACAAAACATGCTGATTGTACCAATTCATTTCATATATACGCTTAAGATGATTACTAATTACCGGTAATTGGGAGCTTGGTAAAACTTTAAGATGCATAGTTTTTTTATTTTTATTGGAGCAATTCAGTTTGAATTTTTATTTCTTTTAATATCATATACTGTGCATCCTAATGTTTTTTTATTTTGCAAAAAAAAAAAAAAAAAGACAGTTAAAATGTAACTTACTGTGAAATGGGGATTATAACTGTTCGCATCATTTTCGGCACCTTTAACCTTTAAAACTAGACTTTAGGATGGCAGTGCTTGTTTCCTAAGACAAACAAAAGTCATGTATCGTCACTTCTCTACTCTAAATGGCTCCATCAATAACCTCTATTGAATTGCTCAGGGGTCAAGGTTAATGAATATTGGAGCTACATTGTATTAATGAGTAACCGCCCAGCTTGTCCTTGTGCTCAGTGGTGCATGGAAACGTCCAAGACACATGATACAAGAATGAACTCAAGTCCACAATTCACACTGGCATGCTTGGACAAAAAAAAAAAACAGGCGACGGCTGTGGAAACTGTCGGTGTGTTAATCTGTGTGAGTTAATGATTATAGGTCTGAAGATGTGGATCAAATGAAAAGGTTGTGCGGGTGAGGGTTGATGGTAGAGTGAGGAGAAATGGTGATCAATAACACCATTAGCCTCTTTAAAGTCTCCGTAAAGATCAAGGCAGTCACTTTGTTTCTCCACTTGGCAATTTAATGAGGCAATTTGTCAGAACACGTGCGCTATAGAGTTTCCATGTCTTTCAGCATGCTCTAATCTAAAACAGAAAATAAAATAAACTCAGAGTCTCAGCAGTTCTCCGACTTTATTAAAAAATGAGGTGCCTCTGCAATCAAATCCCCTTAATTTTCCAAACATGAGCTTTCCAATGACAAACCTGGCGGATGATGTTATTTAAAAGGTCTTGATAACATTTATTTAGTCATTTAGATGTTGATGGATAGACACGCATGCTTTTATAAAGTCCGGGCGGTTGGCTAACTGTTTGTGCTCATGTCTTTTCAGTTTCATCAACCAAACCATAAGCACAGACTAAAGCAACATGTCTTCTGCAAAAGGTATTTAAACTGTTCAGTATCCACTGATAACAGTGAATTAAGACACCATATGATGCCACAAGTGACATAAATGATCACGGCCTTTTTCAGTTACTTGTCATGTTACATGTGTCAGACTTTATAAATATAACATTTTGTTAACGTTAATCATGTTCACACACAAAAAAAAATGATAGAACTGTTTGCACAACTGTTCAGCAACGAGTTGACAAAAGTATCTAGATAATGGAAAACAATGAGTTCAGGGGCCCATGGATAGGCAGAAACACGCAGGCTTCATGGAGTCCAGATTCATCCATCCATTGTCTTTACCCACTTCTTCCTTTTGGGTCACGGGGGTCACTGGTTCCCATGTCCAACTATCCCTGTGACAGAGGTGGGGTACATCCTGGACAGGTCCAAGTCCATCACAGGGACACATAGAGACAAACAACCATTCACTCTCACTCAGGCAACAGCCACCTGAGCCACCGTGCCACCAGGCAGTGCTAAAATGCAAAATGTCTCTGTTTTTGACGTAAATATGTCTGAGAATAATGTAGAGCTAAAGATTGAACAAGTACAAAATAAAAAAGTTATTCATAATGACTGTCAAAGCATAAACTAAGTAAGAGAAGAAACACAAATTGCGTAGAATACAGAGGACCAACGGATGAATGATAATTAATCTAACACATGATGTAAAACATGAGCATAATTAAAGGAATTAATACAATTATTATAATTTTTTTTTCTTCTGTTGGCCGCTCCGTTCTGCAGGGGTGACCACATCAAGCAAACTCACATGACAGATTAGTTTATGCCAGATGCCCTTCACAGCAAGAAGGTTGCAGGATTGCTTCTGTTTCCGCCTACAAATGAAAAGCCTGCATGTTAGGTTAATTGGTAAAGCTATCATGTCCCTAGGTGAGAGTGAATGGGTGTCTTATTTGTCTCTACATGTCCCCGTTGGTGCTCATGTCCAGCGGTCACTGTGTGAGAGGTGAGGTTTGTCCTGGACAGGTTTCAAATCACCAGGCCACAAAGAGACAAACAAGACAGACCATTAGTTACCATTTAACACAATACAGGTGTTTTTGGTCAGCGGGAGGAAATTGGAGTACCTGGAGAAAACCCACGCATGCACAGGTAGAAAATCCAAACAGCTCTCGCCAATTTATGCCGACTTGAATTTAATTTGATTCAGTATATCAAAACTCTTGATATAAATAAATATGGACAAAGATGGATAAAGCGACTCTTCAATCTTTAATTGTCCAAAACTGAAGTCGTTGCTTGAATGCCATTCTTGTCAGCACTGCCTCGCTGTCATTTTAGATCCAGAATCTGTGCCCTGGGTTTAAAAGCTGAGCTCTCCGTACAAAACTACTACACACCCGAAACTCCCTAACAGAAGGTCACAGTGACAATCACAATGTAGCATGACACTTTTTTAGGCTAAACATATTAAAAAAGCATTTTGACCCTACATCAGCAAGGTAAGAACTATATGTACCGTAGTTTCCGACATATAAGTCGCATTCGTTTTTAAAAAAACCATCGCGAAGAAGAAAAAAACATAAGTCAATTTGGCGTATAAGTCCATCCATCCATCCATCCATCCATCCATCCATCCATCCATCCATCCTGGCTGTTATCTCTCCAGCGTTCCTCCGCTTGCACCAGCTGAGTGAAGCGAGCGCACAGGAGGACTCGCTATTGCAGTTCTTAGAAATTTAAAGTGTCAGTCAAAAATTGCGTTATGAATATGAGGAAAAAAGTATATAAATCGCTTCAGCATATACGTTGCAGGACTGATAAATCTATGCAAAAAAACCTGCGACTTATACGCTGGAAAATTTTCATTAATTCATTCGACCTTTATTTAGACAGGTTAATCTCACTGAGCCTCGAGGACTCATTTACAAGAGAGACCTGATTTGAACAAAGAATGATGACAACAGTGGACAACAGCGACAACAATAGACAATTATAAAAGAGGTGTACAGATTTTTTTTTTTTTTACAAATTAAAATAAGATGGCAAAAAAGTAGCACAAACAGCTAGATTTATACAATTTATAA